CCCCCCCCCTTCTTAGTCAATATCAACGGAGGAAATCCTATCCTTTGTATTTTGTATTGCTTTGACTTGAAAAGGCTTCAAATTTGAAGCTTCAAAACTTGAAAGCTACAAATGCTTAGATATCAGTCTTCAAACTCTAAATTGTATTTGGGCAAAGCGTACCGTCTTCATTTTCTTTTGGGCCCATTGTCGCCAAGCAGGATGACAAAGATTCCAGATTTGTCTTCTCTGTAGAACTCACTGAAATTTAAGGGGGAAAAAAAAGAGGTAAGGTTGTGAAAATCATTGTAATACAGAAATTAAATCACAGAATTCACTTTGATCCCGGCAAGTTGACCCATCTTATAAAATTTTACCTTGGAAAAATGAGGAGTCCGAAAGCAACGAAGACCTTCCTTTAACTCTTTCCCAATCAAAATATCTTTATAAAATGACATTTTGGGGGCCATTTTTCCTATCGATCTGATTGCAATTTTTTTAAAAAGATAATTTCTTTTACTATTTTAATTTTAGGAAATATATTCAAATGTATTATTTTTATATGATATGAACAGTTTCATGACAAAATGTGACATATATAATATCTCCGTTTGGTTGATTTTAAAGTCTATAGGTTAGAATCTTGTTAGGCTCTCTAGACTCACAATTCTAAGGTCATGCTTTCGAATTTCATCAGGGGTCCCGACTTTAATCCTTAGGAAGGCACTATATACATGTGCAGATTTTCCTGACTTCAGCCAAGTGGGAACATACGTACAAGTACAAGGCAATAGTGGAAGATCTTGTCTGTTCATAAGCGTTTGAGCACTTAATCAGACCAAAAGCTGAGAGTATTTCAGAGTGTTCCATTATAGGGTCTGCGAGAGGGTAATAGTATTATTTAGTGAACAGTGTAAAGCTTGCTGTTGAGTGGGGATATCATAAAGCGCTACACAATATATATATATATATATATATATATGTAGAGGCTTTGCAGGATTAACAAAAGTCTCCTTGAAATTTGAAAAAGATACATTTTCAGACCATTACAGTGCTGACTTGTAAAATGATCTACGAACCAATAAATAATATAACTGCCCAAAAGACATCGCAGCTGTTACATTTATGAGTCTTAAAAGACTTTTCATAAAAAGAAATCGTGACACTTCGGGCTTTATTTTAGATCTGCCTGATGTTAAGTACTTTGATATTATATTCGATGTCAAAGTTTGTTACTTTTCAGCGTAAAAGCAGAGAAGATACTATTTTTTCATGAGAGCGCATTTTCCTCAGACCAGTACCAGAACAGAGGCCTAAATTCAGAATGAAACGAGGATCAGCCTTGAAATGAATTTACAGATAAGAACCCTTAGTCTCACAAATTGTAACTTTAGAACATCCTCAAACCGCAGGATAAAACCTGTTAAATCTCATATATAAATATGACGACGATTAGTTGACCTTTAAATCTAGATGACCGTACTTTATCTGACAATAATGAATCTATAAAAACCATAAACTTACACTGTTAGTACCGTCACTAACCTGTCTAGACTTAGTTTATAATATCGAGCCTTTTAATTGGTAATGGGTCTAGATTTTCCACTAGCTTCATAATAGCTTATCGATCTGATCTTATTTTTTGTCTTTGGGCCAGGCTTGATTGATAGGTATAGATCGACATATGGCATGATAGTAGAATATTAATTATGATAATATAATGTAATGGGACACCAAACAAAAGTTAAGAATAAACTAAACTGTAAAAGTTAACTCGAAGCATACAGGCCTACAGACTACAAAGTTGAAAGATCTCTGTAGATTCTAGATCTAGATATATAGTTTTAGTTACACTACCCAAGACGCACCGAGTCAAGTAAACGGGGACGGGTGTCACCTCATCATGTCAAACTAATAAGATACATGAATCTGGACATTCATTAAGTTATAGCGTAGAAATTCCACATAAGACATAGATCTAGATATCTAGATCTTCTACATCCTGCGGAAATAATAATATAGATCTAGATATATCTAGATCTAGACAACAACAACGAAAACATCCTACTTTCTCCCTCTGCCTCTGGTCTTCAACATCAACAAAGCGGCGAGCGGATTACTGGAGTTGGACGAAGGGTCTAGGCCTGTGAAAAGTAACAGTGTCTGGTTGATAGGCCTTCTTTCCTTTCCATCTGTCTTGTTCTTTCTTCGAACTAAATTACTGTTGTAATGCCCATGATGAGACCTACGTTTTTGAAAAAAAACACGACTTCATAGAACAAGGAAATCCTCTCTCAAATTACTCAGATTTTCTAAACTTCCCCAGGAAATCAGGAAAGAACGAAACGCATCGAGCGGGAATTCCCGAAATCGAAAAATAAACACATTTTTTTGGTACCGGTGTAAGGGTAATTTATGACGATGCACATAATATCCATGGGGCCACATTTAGCCCCCATTTAAGCAAAGATCATTATGTAATATTAAAAGAGATTAATTAGATACAGGTAAATTGATTATTATAGCACCGGCACAATCTAAATATTAATTTTGTTTGTTCCAGATCACAGCCTGTACAGTAGATCGCCCAGAACAGAGAGGGAGCTCTTGCCGGCCTATACACCCAGTACCAATTAAAGTGAAACAGGCGTAGAGAGAGAGAGAGAGAGAGAGAGAGAGAGAGAGAGAGAGAGAGAGAGACAGACAGACAGACAGACAGACAGACAGACAGACAGAGAGAGAGAGACAGGCAGACAGAGAGAGAAACAGAGAGAGAGGGGAAGGAGTGGAAAGAGG